TTTTTTTTTTTTTAATTTCAAAAGAAGAAAAAAATTAAAACAACTTGCTGAAGTCCAAAGATTTTTATTGCTGCATTTCACACGACTGTGAACCGAATAAATAGCTCCTACTTGGCCTACGAGTTCCGCCACTTTGTCTGTGTGGTCTTGGTAAGAGCAGCAGGAGGGGCGGCTCCGGGCCAGCCGCGGCCACGGCAGCCACGGGCCTGTCCCGAGCCTCGGAGGAGCGGGAGGCCTTGGCAATGGAGAGTGGCTGTGACCTGTCGCCGGGCCTGTGCTGGGCCGTGGGCCCGCAGCGGTCCTCAGCCTGGCCACACTCCCTCCCCCCCCCTCCTGCCTCCTCTCCCTGTCCACCCGTCCTCTCACCAGGCCCCTGCGTGCTTCCGTCTGCTTCTGTATTTGTGACCCTGTCCCCTGTCCCTCTGCCCGCTGCCAGCGCCAACTCTCCCGCCTCTGGGCTCCAGGGCTTCCAGGGGCAGATGGGCCCACGAGCAGAGGGGTGACCCTCGTCCCTCTAGGGCCCAGGCTGAGGTTCCACCAGCCCCTCAGCTGCCGGCCTGAGCCCCTGGGTCATCTCCGGGCAGGCAGAGTGCTCCAGGCAGAGTTGGCCTTTCCTTTTTTTCTTTAACCCCCTTTTTTGTAAGCGGCCACCCCTGCTCCAGAGAGCTTTCCTTCGAGGCAAAGCACGTGCGTACCTATGTGTGTGCGCGTGTGCTCACGCAGGCAGGTGTTCAGGAGCCCCCAGCTCTGGCGCGTGTGGCTACCGTGACTTTTAAAGGCTCTTGGAATCCTCCGGGATCCAGAGGAAGGAAGGAAACGTGTAAATAATAATTTCTTATCGCTTTTTGTCTTTCCTTGTTTGTTTGTTTTTAAATATACATTTTATTTTTGGAAGGTGTGGTACAGTGTAAATTGAATATATTCAATATACCCCTGCCAAGTACATATATATATATAAACAAACACATTATCTCTCTATATAACTCCACGCTGTCTTCTGTTTAGTGTACAGAAAAAGAATCGTGTCCAAATGTCCATCTGCAGCCGGGACAGNACAGAAAAAGAATCGTGTCCAAATGTCCATCTGCAGCCAGGACAGCGGGGGTGCCCATGGCCCAGGCGGGAGTCACGACGGCCCCTCCCCCCCCCAAGACTGAGGGTGAATTTCTCTCTTTGCCTTAAACCTCTCAACTTCACCACAACAACACTCGCTCTGTATATTCTAGTGTGAACCTTTTTAAAAAGGAAACTATAAAGACAAGACGTTGTAATTTAACATTCTGTGAGTAACCATCTGCTGCTTAGGAAACTCAATGAATGACATGCCTTTTTCGCAGGAAGCAAAGTTTTTTGGGCTTTCATTTTTAAAGGTTTTGTTTTTTTGTTTTAGTTTATAAAACACGTGCATTTTACAATTCCAGTATCAACTATTTATAACCTTATGAGAAATGAATGTTTCTACTTCCAAATGTGCTTATCGAAATTGTGAACATTCCCTCTGCATTTTTTGTGTGTTTTAAAATCTTGAAAGTTACATTAAATAAAAATAACCCCGGTTTATTGTAAAATACTGGCTGTCCGAGGTGGAGTGACTAGTTTTTCTCGGTGCGTTGCTGAGTCCCGGCCACTGCCATGGGCCTCCTCCCACAGCGCAGGCACTGGAGGCTTTGCCTCAGTCCCGCCGGGGGTACCCAGGCCCACCCCCATAGGTAATTTCTTTTTAAAATAATGAAGACAGTTCGGATATTTTCTATGTGAGCACAGAGCAACCAAAGTAATGTAAGTACACGTCTCCTGACCAGAAGGAACTGTTCAAAATATGGCGCTATCCCACTGAATAAATATTTAAAGTTCTTCGGAGAGCAACAGGCACCCACCCTCCAGGGGGGGCGGGAGGAACTCTTCTTACTGGACAGACGTGGGCGGCTCTCCTCTTTTATGTTTCGTTGTTGCTTTTACCCTCAAAGTAAAGGACGTGGACAACATCCCAAGGCGTATTGTGAGCTGACCAGATGCCTGGGTTCCCCAGGCCGCCCGGCCAGCAGAGAAGCAGCTGGGATCCACCTCCACAAGGCCACGCAGGATAGTCCACCCTGCACACCCAGCTGCTCTATTGCCAAACTTTCTTGGCTGGAAAAAAATAGTTTCTTCTCCCAGTAAAAGAAACTCAGAGACTACTCAAAGGATCACGTGCTGCCAAAGGGGATCATTCAGGCTGCTTCTGTTCCACGCAGGCTTCCCGGGGTCCCTGAGCCTCTGGGCAGGAGCAGGGATGCTCCCCAAATTTACAAAGACCTAGCTCAACAGGAAGCCCTGGAGCACCAGCTTCCCGGTTCCAGGAGCGCCCCAGGGTCGTCACCAATGGGATGCCATTCCCAGAGTCTCCCTCCTCCCTCACTCCCCGCTTTGGCAGTTCTGAGGGTCCCAGATTAAAAACAAATGCCCACCAGCACTACTGCTATTGCCCCATTGGACTCTCTTTTTAATAAAACGACAATATAACAACACTGGACTCTCTTTTTAATGAAACGACAATATAAACAATCATTTTTTTAAATCTGTTTGCAAAACATAACACTACTAAGAGGCAAGGTACAGTCTTGTCAGGTAATGAGATCCCTGTCCCCAGAGGTGTGCAAGCAGATACTAGGCCTGCAGAGGCATAGGGGAAAATTTTTTTTTTCTTTTTTGCCTTTTTGTCTCTGGGAGGGGATTAACCTGAGTGAGATTTTAGACCCCTGAAGCACTGAGATTCTGGTTTTGCTCCTATGTTTATTACATTTTTTAAAATCAGCAGCGTACAATCTAAGCTCAGAGAGGCCCTGCTGCGCCAGCCAACCGGCTCTCAGGAGGGGCCAGTGGAGACCAGAGCAGGGCCTGCAGGGCAGCCAAGGCTCCTTTCTGAAGCCCGGCAGCCGGCGGGGTTCCACCTGGGCCTCTGGGTGCCTGGGATCTGGACCAACTGGGCAGCAGAAGTCGGGGGACCATGCCGGCCAGATTGTCCGGCCGCAGGAGGCTGGTTCCCTAAACGCTCCTCCGAGGAAGGCTCGCGTATAAAGTAGCCCCTGCTCTTGGAAGCTGAACCGCCTCCAAGCCAGGCCTGGCCGTGTCCACCATCCTCGGTGGCCGGTGGCCTGGCTGAGGGCCGGCCGAGAGGCCGCCGCCGGGGCCTGCCCGAGCCCGCGCTCCCGCAGGGCGCTCCCAGACCTCCCGCTTTTGCTGCCCGGAGAGGTCGGATGAGTCGGGTCCTCAGGCTGGAGTCAGAATCCGAAGATCAACGCGGGCGCGACGGGCACCCAGCCTGGACCCGCTGTGCGCTTTCTTTAGGGAGCCAAGGAGGGAGCCACACGGGGTGACACCACTCCCATCGCCGAGAGGGCTCCGTTTTTTGTTCTGTTTTTTCCTGGAGTGAAAGGCAAATCGTCGGGGCTCCCGGACCGCTGGGCACAGGTGTGCCGGGGCGCACGGGGCTCACAAATACCCTGGCACTATCTATGCAAATACGCCCGCGGCTGCCCCGGGCGGCCAGGGGGGTGGCGTGCGCTCGCTCCCGCTCGGCTGAAAGTCATTCTCTCTCCCGCTGGTTTAATAACACTCGACCTTCGCGCTCTCAGCCGGCCCGGCCGCTCCCCAAGCGCCACGGAAGGGTCCCGGCTCCACCGAAAACGCAGCGCGCCCCTGGGAGTCGCGCGCTGGGAGGTTAATAGCGACTGGCGACCGAGGGCCTCGCTGCCAAAGGCCTCGGGGAAGACCGACGGTCCCACCCCACCCGCGCCCAGCCGCCCTGCACACAGGCTGAGCCCCGCGCTGGGTCTGGGGCCGGGGACCCCTTTGCGCTTCTGTCGCGAGGAGACTTCTGCAGGCCTCGGAGCTGCGCAGGCGGGTGGGGCGAGGGACGTGGAGAGGGGCGGTCACAGGGGCGCAGAGTCCCCGGCCCGGGGGCTGCAGGCCCAGCCGCCCTCGGCGCCCACGCCGCGCGAGCCCCGCGCACACCATTCATGGTTTTATTAATCTCTAATACTCCGTTCTCTTTATACGGCCCGCCCACAAAAAAAAATAAAAGGCCATTCTTGAAATCGCCTGAAATGACATAATAATATTCATTAAAGTGGCTCCTAATTACGAGATTAAATCAAGCGTGGGCCGCCGCGCTGGGCTCTGGCTGGTGAGGCTGCCGGTGACGGCGATATTATTATTGTAGTTGTTGCTGTTGGCCACGTGCTCAGCCCCTGGAGTGAGGGCCACCTCTGCAGCTTGGGACCAGCCCCCGCAGAGGCATGGGGGGGGGGAGATGAGAGGGGGGAACGACTCCAGAGTCTCGGGGAACAGGTGTGACTCGGGCCTGCTGCTCTTCGCCAACGCAGCCAGGCCGTGCCAGGCCTGGCCAACGACTCTGGGCGCCGGTAGGGTGTCCTCAGACCCCTAGGCCTTCCGTGTCCCCGAGGGAAGCCAGACCGGGTTTTCTGGGATGGGCGAACCCTGGGGTGCGCAGCCAGCGACCGGCCCCGCTGGCCGTCCCGCCCCTCTTTCTGGGCTGAGCCCCGCGCTCTGCCCTCCAGAAACAAAGAGAGGCTGTAATCAGCTCCCCCTCG